TCCCTTTAAAGCCTGTGAAGAATGCCCACATGAGGACAAGGACTCCCGAGGTTCTTCAAGATCTGATCTGTTCATCGAATTTTCTGCAAACAGTGTTGCGCGTTTCTGGATGAGACCCCGATGGAGCTCCAAAAGGCCCGTAAGGAAGTTTCCCACAAGGTTTTGGACGCACCATTGGAAAGGGCGACTACAAAGAAGCGACCCTTAGCCCCGAGATGTTGGACACGATTCTCAATGATTTTTTCTCTTTGGTTGCCACTTGCTCGGAATCTGAGGCTATTACATCGACCAAGCTGCATGCTTCGCCAATCCATCGCCAACGCAGAAGGAGACAGCAGTTTTTCCATGGTTGGTGAGGTAGAGAACTATGGGGAAGACTTTGCAGGGATTGGAGTGTGCTTCCATGGAGATGAACCGGAAGTAGAAATGCCTGATGGTCTGGTGCATGTGTTTCAAGAGACCCGAGATATGTACGACATGAACGACCCAAATATCTATGTTGTGCTGGATGAAGGGTGTAATTCAACATGTCACTCCAAGCACTGGGCTGAGGTAGTTGAGACCAAGTTGAAGAATCTTGGGTACCAGTTCCCCTTCAAAGACATCAAGGAAAAACTTTCTCTGGATTGGGGACTGGTGGGACCTCGACCCAAGGATCCCAAACCTTGCCTGTCAGCCTGAATTCCATGGATAGCCAATGTACACCCGCCCATGGGGTACTTGAGACACACCAGCTTAGCACCGGGAAGTGACCACTTCTGTTGTCACTGCATGCTCAAGCCCACCTGGGACTTGTTAAGGACTTCAAGAATGGTACAGTATCCATCGATGGTAGCCAATTGCCAGTGTTCAGATGTTCGCACACAAGGTTGATGATGTTGGCAATCACTCCCAATCAACTTGATCCCATGTGCAGAACGTTCCATAACAGTTCCCAACAGATCCCAAAGTGCCATAGGAATTTGGAGCTGCATTCACCGCTGTTTCAGACGCGCCCTCGCCGATGAATGCCTCGAAGACTGCCACTGGATTTCACCATTCTAGCACTTCTGCTGTTGAGTCCGCTTTGGACCAAGCCCTGAGGGGATTGAATCGCTCGAACGTCCTGATAGTGACAGCGGGAGCGAGGTGGACCAATAGACAACCAGCTTTGAATGGCGTCACAGTGCTGCAGATCGATTGCCGGCATTTCCATGACCCTGACAATGACAGGACTCTTAGAGGACATGTTGGCAGGCATCCAGGGATTATGAGGAGCCTTGCAAGAAACAGCGTCATGGAGGAGCTCGTGGAGCAGACGAAAGACTTCTTGAAGTCGAATCCTTCAGGTAATTGGTCATCCACCTGTACTGCACAAGTGACCGACATAGGAGTGTTGGAGTAGCAACTGTCATGTTTCATTTCTTGGACATCTCGGAGTGGAGAACCCCCGAACTGATTCATTTTCACGGAGTGGAGTGAAATGAGTTGTGGTGGTCGTTGCGGATCATGCGGTTCAGTTGACACCCGTGAGCTTCGCAATTTGGTCAGTCCATTTCTGCCGGATGTTCGAATGCCAAGTGAGCCTGTTAGGCCACCATGCTCAGCACCAACTTCGACGAGGATCCCAGGTGCACCGAGACCAGTGCTTACTCCAGCCCGCCACACTGTGGCAGTGCCAGTTCGAGCCCCTGCACCTCCATCAGATGCCATTGTCCGAACCCCATTGACTCCAGCTCACATCCCAACTTATTATCCTCCTCCTGACCGTGAAACGGCAAGTCGAGATTTAGCTGTGAAGGTGCTGGCGAACCAGGTCCAGGAGCTCTCAGGACTGGTTCGACAAGTCTTGGATGGCGATCGAGGGCGACGCCGTGGAAGATCATCGTCAACCCGGCGATCTCGAAGCAGACGCGGTCGTGACGCTCCATCTTCTCCGAGGCGTGTCCGTGAAGTGCCCCTCCAAGGACACCACCAAGCCGTGAAGTGCCCCCTCCGCCAAGGGCACCACCGCCAAGAGCTGCCAGACTGGAACCGTACGGAGAAGATCGCCGATTACAGTTGGAACGAGAGCTCTACTTGCGCTTTGTTGCATGAAGATGACAGGACTCCGTACTGCTGGAACATTGATGAAGAGATTCTGACATGGATCGCTGATAGCGTCCGGCTGTGGTCCAACAGGGACAGGACACTGTGGCTCTGTGATCCCGATCTGCCGGTGGAAGTTCAACAATCTATGGGCATCAGGGTTGACATCCGCATCCGAAGCCACATCCGGAAGGAAAGTGGATGCGACAGCGGAACTGGATCAAGTCCGCCTTTTATAGGCCTCGGGACACCCATGGAGCAGCTTGGGATCGTTTGCGGAAAGAGGGCTCAGTCAGTGAGAATGTTGAGGTGCCAGTTTCCTGGGCTGACCTGATCACCTTTTCTCACCGTGACGTCCGTCCTCGAGCGTACATGGGGCGCCTTGTGGTGTTGTCGGGTGATCAGGGTTTTGAGGGCCAAAATAGCTTTCCCAAAACGGAAACCCAAAAGTGGAGCCGAAACGCTCCCAAAATGGAAGCCCAAAAGTGGAGCCGAAAAAACGCCCCCCAAATGGAAGCCCAAAAGTGGAGCCGAAAGAATCCTCCAATTCCACCTCAACCAAGTCGGTTTATGATTTGTACCGGCGACGACATGTTCAGAGGGAATCCCAAAGAGCAAACCCCGGAAACTGAGTCCACTTGGCTAAGCCAGTGAAAGCTGACCTTTCCAATGATGACTCCAAACATGCAGAAACCGCGCTGAATGGTACGATCATCAAAGAAGAACCCAGAGACTTGTTGCCTGTTGGACTCATGGCCAGAGATCCAGATGGTTCCAATCCATTTGAAATTGTCTTGGATTCCGACACGGATGTTGAAGTACATGAGCATGGTCCGATTGCCATTCATCCCAATGAACGAGTCACCATGGGTAGGAAGCATCATAAGGCTGTGTTGGATGGAATTTCCAATTTGAACAAGCACGACATGATGATCCAGAGCGGTTTGGGTTAACCTCCAACCCCAGTCATGGCAGCAAGACAGTCGTGTTCACTTCACATCCATTCGTGTTTCTCCAGGAGTCTGGCCAGCCCTTGATTGACGTGATCAATGTTGGTGTGGGTGCCAGTCATTTAGATCCTGAGTTTGACCCGTTTAACATCGGCAACACCGAGGTGAACGATTTCAGATACTGCGGAAAGCAGTTTTCGCGCTCAGGAGATGGAGACATCTACGTTGACACCGTCCACAATACAAGGAAGATTAAACCGTTTCCCATTGAAGCAAGCGGTTCAATCAACGATAAGATTTCAGGCGATGATATCACTCGACTCAGGTCGGTGACGGTGACAGGGTCACTAGCTTGGGTTGCAAGCAAACAAGACCAGATTTGGCATACCGAGTTAGCCGCCAACAATCTTCGATCAAGAACGCCACAGTCAGCACTCTATGTGACGCAAATGCAGTTGTGCAACTTGCTCACAAGGGTGATCAAGTGAGACTTCGTTTCTCAATGTGGACACCTCAAATGGGATGAAGTTGGGTTGATCACGATCACTGACGCTTCTTTCTCCAACGAGCAGAATTATGGTTCTCAACAAAGACGCTGCCGCTTTCTTGGAGATCTTACTGAGATCAAGAGTAGCAACTGTAACACGTACAGAGTGATGCCTTTGTCTTTCAGCTCTACTACGATCCGACGCGTATGCCGAAGCACACTTCAGGCCGAGACATAATCACTGCAGCATGGTCTTGAGGCAGGAGACAAGCTCAGGGGAGTCTTAGCTGAGATCAAGGGTCAGATCAGATCTTTGAGGACGTGGGAAGTCGATGCTAGGAGTTGTGTGCCGCACTTAGCTCTTACAGATTGCCGTTCTCTCTCGGATCATTTGGCTTCCGAAATTCTCGCGAAGGTGAGTGACAAGAGATTAGGCATTGAGCTGCAAAGGATACATGGATCCTATTGGAATGATGACCGAAAGACGTGGGATGTCGACCCAAACGGAGGAGACAAGCTATCCTGGATAGCTACCCACACTATGACCAGTGACTGTCTCACAAAGAGTATGAAACCGGACTTTATCATCCGTGTATTAACAGATTGCATGTATAAGGTACAGAAGCAGTAGAAGTACCACTGCGCCATTTTCCGTAGTGCCCTGTACAGACATGAATGTAAACAATGCGATGTGACACCTGTAGAACAGGTTGAGTGTCAATTTGAGGTACTTGACATTCCATGTATAGGCCAGGTTGTCACATATTATGTCTGTTGCCATTTTGGCTAACAGGGCCCTTGAGCTGTACGGCTCACGCCAACAGTAAAAAGAGCTGCGTGGACAGCACGATCCCGTTGCCAATTCACAATTAGCTCGTCAAAATCAACCCGCCGCCGAGCGCTGCGGAATCAGCCCGGGGGTCCGAAGCCGGCCAGCCAGCCAGCCAGCCAAAAAAAGATTCTGGCGGCCGGCGGAATCAGCCAAGATCATCGTTCGGCAGCTTTAAAAATTTCCGTGCATTTCCATTGCGCAGGCTCGCGCGAAGTGTGGGTCCCGGTCTTGGGATCGGTCCTCCTCCTCAACATCATCATTTTCACCCTCCTCGACATCATCATTCTCAACATCACCATCCTCCACATCATCATCCTCAACATCATTATCCGCAACATTATAATCTTCATCGTCATCTTCATCGTCATCTTCATCTTCAAAAACATCTCCATCATCATTATCATCATGATCATCATCATCATCATCATCAACAACAACAACATTGTCATACAATATCCTCCCACACGCCCACACTGTTTGGGGTCTCTTGCCACAATAATTTATTTCTCCTCACTTGTGTTCAACTTGTCCTCGCTTGGCTGTTTGGCACGAATCCTGGCATTTTTGTTGGCCATTCCCTAAGTCACGCCTGACCCATTTTCCTCGTGCGACAAAGCCGTTGATCTCAAGGATACACGGCGGATTTTGCGAGTCCCCTGAAATCATGGAGGTGCGCGAACCACGCGCCAAAGCGCGATTGTCAGAGGCGTTGGCCACGGGCCAATGCCTAAAACCAGAGCAGTTGAAACGGCTTTTTGGTGACCAGGGCCTGGAGGCCGGTCGAGACTAAAATGCGGGCAGGCATTTGCATATGTAATCAATGACCGTTTTTGGTAAATTAATAATAAATTATGAACTCATGATTGCCGACTAGAGCTATACATTGTATTGAGTGTATTGGGTCGGGTTGTTCCATGTGTTCGTTCTGTCTCCCTGAAGGTCCTTTACGCCAATGTCAAGAAGAACGACCAGGGTGAAATCCCTGCGGATCAGCTTATCGAATGGCTCTACGGGGAAGGTCAAGGTGCCAAAATGCTGCCCAGCGCACCTCACTTGGAGGTGCCACGTGCCACAACGGCTGCTGCTGCTGCTGCTGGTGGGGATAGTCCCAGTGCAAAGTCGGGGTCATTCAGCCCTAGACATTGCCGAACAGAGCAGGACGTGGAAAAATTTGGGATCCTGACTTTGGGCTGCATTTCTAGCCGCATTTGTTGATCCTTCAGGTGCAAATAGGTGCTCATGACAACACAGCGTCTGTATATTGCATGTCAAAATTTTGAAATTGTTTGTGATCCTTTTGATAAGTCTTTCATCGATTTCGAATTCTTCAGCACAATAACGTCGTGAATGCCATACTCTTAGACGGAAAACACTGAAAATTGAGTTTTGGTTCTTCGACGAATAATTTTAGGACTTGACGGGAACACGCACACACACACACATCTTCCAGCAAGTGAGGTGCATGAGGGTTTTCTCCGGAAAATGGTATCCTTATCTAAATTATCAAAATCCAACCACTGACCTTCACATCTTCCAAAACTGTTGGCAATTTCACGTAAGTATGGAAACTATAGCCCACTTAGTTAAATGAGTTCCTTCAAATATGGTGATTTTCCCATCCGGAGCTGTGCCATGTGGAGCCAAGTAGAGCCAAGGATGGAGAAGAGCAAAACCCAGGAAGCGATGGCGGAGTATAAAGCCATGGCCAGGGACCTGGCTGAAGAGTTCCAAGACAAAGTGGCGAATCCCACCGCCGAAGCTTTCATCGAGTGACCTGCCGGTGTGGGGTGGCTGGGAAAACATCTCGTGGTGAAGGTTGAACTAGTTTAGTGAAACAATGGTCAAAGAGTCTTGGGTTTGCACTTGGGTTTGAGACTTGAAAGCTGAACAAATCAGGGTGTATTTTGTCTTTGAACACCTGGAACTGCGTCTTGAATCCAACAAGTATGACACCCATGACTGTCACAGGCAGCTCTGTGTGGAGAAGATCTTGCAGGGTGCCCTCTTCGTGGGCCACGTCAAAACCGACTTGGATAGCATCGCTGGAGCCATTGGCGGTGCTTGCCTATGGCAAGGGACGGCCACAAGGGCAGAGAGGGATCTCAATGGTGAAATCATGTATGCATTGAAATGGGCAGGCCAGGGATCGAACAGTGTGTGGTGACCTGTTGGTGTTGCAATTGTGTAGATTGAGCTGCTGCTGCCATTCTAAAACAACTTGTTCTTTGGTGTATTCACTTTTCCTCACCAAGTCAGCTTGCCTAAGATTTAGCAAATGCCTCGGGCTCTATTTAGCTCTCAGCGTTCTTGGCAGGTTTGGAGGTGCCACCTTTCTTCGATGATCATCCTGGTGCCGCCACACCAGATGCGGATGGCAAGCTGCTGCCAGTCTGTTTGGTGGATCACAACGAGGACAAACAGATGGTTCCCTCCTTGCGAGACGCCCCAGACCGCAAGAAGCGTATCATTGGGCTGATTGACCACCACGTGACTTGACAATGTAGGATGCAGCTGTTTGACATATACCGCTGGGGCACAAGAAGGATATGTCAACAACAACAGATCTCAGACGGAATGCACATAATTCACTGACAGGGGATAGATCTTGAATAGATTGAATAGATCTTGGAGAAGTACCTTTGGGGTTCTCCCAAGGCATTTTGTGGCTTTTCTTGGGCTGATTCCAAAGCCCGAGGCTTTGGCGGAGTCAATGGCATCAGAAAAGCCCGTCTTCATGGACGTGAGGCCCTGGGGATCCATGAGCAGCATCGTCACACACTCCTACATTCGAGGCAACCGAACCTCGACAAAACTGTGCTCGGAGATGCTCAATGGATATATCATGATATATCACCAGAAAAAAACCCCGACCATTTTCTCGGAATCATTCTGGGTTGCAATTGTGATGTCCCTGGGCTCTGTCTTTGCTTGAGTACTGTTTCAGTTTTGCTTCCACTCAGGAATGATCCCAAAGCCTGTTGCGCGAATTTTGCTTTGTGCGATTCTGTCGGACACTTTGAAACTTGGCAAAGATAAAGATGTTCTCAGCCCAGATTATGGGACCAGATGCAGATGCAGGAGGGTCCCGTTGGAATTACTACCAGAACTCTGCTTGCTTCACATTTGCAAAGCGCCCACTCGCCCACCTCCAAGATTTGTTGAAGGTTCACCCTGCGCACCCTGTTTACCCTGTTCACCTGTCCAAGGAACTTGCAGAGTGTCACTACCACAAATGCAGATCGTTTCCTGGTGACCGTCCTTTGCATTCTGGGGGAGTGCGAAGATCCTGATGAGCTTGCTCGAGCCATGTTCCGGGCGAAGACCGAATGGATTGTAGGACTTCTGCGGCTTGGAACTAGACATGTTTGACTGCTTAGCAACAGAACAACCAAGGGAAGGGGTTATTTAATTTACTGGGACGTACCCATACCTACCAACATATTTGACATGTGTGTTCGAACGCTCAACTGCTGACGTTGCACTAATATTTCATGTCCGAAACGCGCCCGTTGCTGCCAGATCTGCCCTTCCTGCATCGGTGCCAGGACTTGGGGCCTATGAGATGACTCGAGGCGACCAGAAAGACTTCACAGCCAATGGATGGAAGGTGGGTATTGCGGTTCTTGAGGTCACAGACACTGAGCCTGTTTTGAAGGTTGCCGATGATGCTCGACTTGGATCCGGAGACGGTTTAACGATATTTTTTTTAAAAAAATATGTATGTCTAGCAACCCCCCAAAAAGGATAGCAATTCCTACTATTCTATTCAAGTAGGATAGTACTTTTATATTTTGGGGTTTGCTAGTGTCTTTGATACTCTTTGGTGTCTTTTTTTTGGGGGGCAGTTGATGTTACAGAAAGTCTCCAAGTGGCTGGCGAAGTTTCTGCCTCATCAGGAGCTTTTGATGGAGCTGCGAATTCTTAAAGTTGAGAAGGGAACCTGGGCAGATGCAGCAGGTTTTATGGGTTCATCCGTTGCACGGAAAAACGTTACCCGGAATCATTGAGGCTTAAGTTCGAAAGCTTCCTTTTGAAACATGCAAAAAAACACATGTCATGTACTGTAAATTAGTATGCATCTGCGTTTGTCATATGCCAAGGCATTAAGTCAGATCCGCCTCGTTCATCTCATGAGGCGCCCTGAAGAACGGCGAACATGACCGGCGGAAGGAACTGGACTTCGCGTATTTGTTTGTGGTGGACGTGACACAGCAGAAGTCCTTCCTGCTGGTGGCGGGTGGTCGGGAGTTGGCGTTGGCCAAAGCAGTGCCTTGGGCCTGTAAGGGGACTTAAAATCCTGTGCAGTGCAGTTTTTGCAGGTCATTTCCTATACGAAAATGGCAGTTTTGGGATATATCTTTTTGCATGAAAAGTGCATTTCTGGGATATGATATGATGCGTTCTGGGCAAACCCGACTGTAGGGATTCGAATGGGGATTGTTCGCCAATATTCCACACAACAGAAGTGGAAAACCAACAGAATATTGAGGTAGTTCCCCCGATTAGAACCCTTTACAATGACAAAACCCCATGATATCCCCCTACATACTGTACCCGATTACAATGATTACAACCCATCATGATTACCCGTTATTTCCCCATGTTTCCCCAATTTTCCGGACCATTTTCCAGTGGCTTTTCCAAGCCTCTTCCCATCAACCGAGGCCTTTCCGGGACGTCCCTTGCGCGAGGCCAAGGTGGGGATCCAAGCACCGGGGAAGACCATCCAGGCCGCAGAGACCTTGATGGAGGCAGGGCGATACCATGGAGGATACCATGGGGGGATACCATGGTGGATACCATGGATGATATCGCCATTTTTTGATTCCGGAAACCTGGATGTAAAATGATGTAAAGGCTGGAGATTTTTAAGGGCAAAAGGCTGGAGTTTTTGGAAGTTGCTGGCGGATTTCTGAGATTGGACATTTTGAGGTGGGTGACATCGTCTCGCGCAAAGCCCAGTTCGTGCCTGCCTTCTTCTCAGCGCTGAACTCGGGATTCAGCTGCCACAAGCAGCCCAACAGCAGCATCAGCGAGGAAATTGCTGGCATCAAGGAGGACGATGAGGTTCATGCAGCCATTGAAGCCCTGCAGAAAGAATCGTTCCATGATTCGGTGCATGTGGTGAGGGACTACACGCGTTATAGAGACGCACTTGACAAGGCGGAGCCTAGCTAGAGCAGCTAGCGCTTCCCCACAATTCCAGTTCCAGTGGTTTGAACTCGGCCCTGCAAAGCAGTGTCCGGTCTCTCTCATTGCTCAGACGAATGTTGCAAAGCACGTGTGAATTGTGTGAACCGTTCCAAGACTGCTTGGATTGAACTACGGAAAAGCTCCGATGTTGGCCATTCCAAAACCCAGATGCCAGGCCCACTTTCCTGGCTGAAACTGTTTCAACCAAGTGTCTGATCTTTTGACTTTGTCCTTCCTGCTTTCCCATTGGAATCGAAAACAGGCTTGAGACTACAACACGCCATTGAAACGCTCATTAGTCGTTAGGGCCATATCATTTGATCCTTGACCTCATTTTCCAGCTTGATCCGGAGTCTAGAGGGAGTAAGTAGTGGGACGGAAGAAACTTCAACATCTTCAACTTGTTTTTTCTTCCCAAGCTGTTTCTAGTGAATTTTGGGATGGTATATAGTTTTGGTCTTCGCTAAGAGGAGCAATGAGGGACCACTGTCCACAACGACGGGTCTGCCACTCACTGAGTGGGCAAAGCAGCGGGAGCTGCTGGCGCTAAAGTGCCGCGAAAGCTGCTGGCGAGATGTCTCAAGTCTTGTCTCCTCATGATTTGTATATATATATAAATAAATGAGAAAATGCAAATAAATAAATGAATGAATGAATGAATGAAAAAGTAGATAAATGAATAATAAAATATTATCTCTAGACTCTAGACTAGGCTGATAGCGAATGTTTTGGAGATATTTTGAACTGGGGCTTCAAAGTTTCACAAACAACTGGGTATGGAACATCAGTGTTCCCTCTTGGAGACCTCGCTGCGAGCTCCTGAGTAGTTGGGCTGCCTGACAGCCACGGCCCAAAGGGCCACCTTTGGGCCCCAAGGGCTCCGAGCTGCACGAGTGGTGCGGGGGAAAGAAGTGGATTTGGGCGACCTCCAGGGGAACTGTTTGGAATCATCGAATCTCAACATGATCTTCTTTCGGATTGGTGAATCAATTGTGAATCATGAATCATCATTACAATTTAGCCAGAAAACTGGATGGTCTTGACCTTTTACCATTTTCATCTGCGGAAGCCATGGGATCGTAAGATGGGCGGCATTTTCTGCTGAAGGGAGGATGTGTTTAGTGGAAAGACCTTCAGTCAATCTGCACAAGATGCTTTGAAACGCGCTCTCTTGCCTTGGGTCGACACGCACAGCTTGGTGACTTTTCTGCACAGCGCATGCTGCTTGGGCTCGAAGGGGCGCTTCATAGTGGATTGATTTATTAGTAATGGCCATGCTTCGTGCATGCTTGTGTGTGGGCCTTGATGATTTTTTGTCTGACTTGCACTTTCTCTGGGAATAAGATCTACTCTCCGGCAAAATAACACAGCTATGAACATACATGGATAAAAGGTGGATTTTCAATATCTATGTAAGTTTACTGTAGGGTTCTGACATGGGAGGGCTGCCATTCTTTTGAAACTCAGGTCTCCTGCTGCTTGCCAATGTTGCAGCGCAGGACATTGCTCCTAGTTATGAGGTACCTCCTGGCATAGTCCCCGTATACGGGATTGCCCATGGTTGCCCTACCTTTCTGAACAAAATTCAAGAAGTGTGTGGGTTCTTGTAGGGTCTCTCTTCAATCATGCTAAAAAAATCGTGTTTTCCGTCTCTGAACGTCGAGTTTCCTGGTCAGGTGGTGAGACACTCAGACCCAAGAAGGCTTGGTGCCGAGGCCGAGCGTGTCCGCGTGTCCCCGGGTCTCGGTGTCGGTTTTGTGGACTCGAAATCCAGCAACAGTTCTACGCAGTTCTGTGTGTACACACAGAACACAGATATATGATATACAAATATAATCAAACATCAAAACACACACACACACATATATATATATATACACATACACATGACAATATGATAATAAACAAAACATGAATAAATACACAAATAATAAACACCTAAATAAATAAAAACAATATATATATATATACACCGATAGAAGGTATACATATACAGAAATAAACATATGTAAATTGTAAGCATTTCCCATTCTGATTGAGCAACATCCCCATGAATTGCTGGACAATACAGCCTCACAGGCACTGGAAGCTCAACATGGACATGACCCCGTTGCCCGAAGAGCTTTGGAGGTTGGAGCGCTGGTTCATTGACTACGTACACAAAGATGTAAACAGTGTAAACCATTGGTAACCAACGACTTTGGAGGATCTTCATCTAGTTCGGCCCCTTCCCAAGCTGCAAGGAAAAGCCTTGGGAAGCCCCAGCAAGAGATCGGTTTGGAGATGTTTGATAGTAAACTGCATGGAGGTTTATCAATCTTGGTTTCACTGGTTTCACATTCAATTCTTGGACCAAAAACCAAAGCCTCGCAGCCAAAGGTAAGCCGTCGCCTCTTTGACTTTGCTGGCTTGACGGACTCCATCGGTGGAGCAGCCAAGTGGTGTCAAGACACCGTGAGCCAGGTGCCACTCCCGGGCTGCTATTGTTTTTGGTTCAAAATGTTGCATTTTTGCAGACTCTTCACCCACACAATTTGAGACACTGTTGTGGATTCTGCAAGTTTAACCTTCTGCAAACTGCAGGTGTCAAACAAAGTGGTGGGTGTCCAAGAAGCGGCATCTCTAATTCAGAATGCGCAGCTTGACTTAGCAAATGATTTGGCCCCACAATCTCCGCGCGTTAGGGAACAACTCTGGAACAACCTTTGATTTTTCCAGTGCGTCTTCCAGCTTGGAAAGTGCGGCTTGCAAGTCTCGCCCTTGAGGAATACCTATATTGGCGAGGGGAGCCAGTTGACATCACAAGCGTGGAGTAGCATGTTGGAGCTGGGAACAAAGATGACTGGCGTTTACAAAGGCCATGGCCCATGGCTGCTACAGAAAGAATGGAAGTGAAATGAAGTATGCTACCATCAGCATGCCATTGAGATTGTATCCCCCTTGGGTTCTCGGAAGCTCCCCTACACTTTCGATGTCTTCCGTGCCCGTTTCGTTTGCCGCAGATTTCAAGCCGCTGGAACCGGCTTTTGGGAGTGACCCGGCAGCAGAAACGCGTTGACCACTGACCTGTCTGCCGTTTTGGTGCTGAGGAGCTGGAGGTGCCATGGAGTTGACGACCAACCAGGGCATGTTGTCGCAACTGGTGCATTGTGTGCGGTCCATCATCAGCAGCGACTTGGACTACTTGGATTGTCTGGGACAGCAGCTGGGATTACAGCAACACTTGGATTCTGAGCGACTTTCGACGGGGAACTTTTGGGGAAGCCGATCATGGTTGATGGCTGTAGGGATCATTCGGGCTCCGGTTTTAGCAGCATCGACTTGTGAGAGGGAAGAGTGCACAATGGAGATTTCGACTCCTGACCCGAAAATCTCCGAAGCCAGCATAAAACTCGAGGCAACAGCATTTTAGATGTCCTGGGCACGTCCCTTGACAAAGCGCTGGGCATTTTCTCTCAGATCAAGGACTCGAGGGAGCTTGCTGTCAGTAATTGGAATGCCTGTGTTGTAGACTTAGTGGATAGCACATGATGGCAGAAAAGATCCGCCACTTTCATGATTCCACAGGGTCGCTGAGATCTTTATGCTGATGCCACATGCGTCTGTTTGAAAATGGGGTACACACCAAAATGACAATTTTTATAATTTTGATAGGGAAAATGGCCACTACCCTTGGATTTGGGGTTACATGATTTTCATGCAAACCCAATAGTCTCTTGAGAGATCTTGAGATCTTTGTGGTCAGGACACGATCGTGAGTGTCGTCTCCAAACTCGGCGGTCGCAGGCTGGAACACAGTGGCACCAGTGGTCCAGAGATTCGTTGCCGTTGCGGCTTTTGTCCCACGCAGGTTGAGAGAACTGGGACCAGAGGGACGACGTCTCTATGACTACAACCAGTTTCTTGCATCCTTTCACCCAGATTATTTTCCCTTCATTCCACTGAAATTGGCCTCCCATGCTGCACTGAGGCTTTTGGAGGGGATCGACTTTGACTGGATCTCCAGTAAGATTTCTGGCTTTGTGTCTTGACCAGATGATGTGCGCAGCACACCTGGATCCGGGTTTTCACCCCATGTGACCCTACATCTTCATTCGGATTCGAGCTCTCCAACGGCAAGGGGGATGACCCCTTAACGACACCAGACCCTGAAAGCTTGAAAGTCTGGGTATGGACCAAAATCATCCAAAATCATCCAAACTCATCCAAAATCTATATTACTAGACTTTTTTGATCTTTTTTGGGATGAACCCCCATAAATCCCAGCTATTCTTCGTTTTTTTTGTTGGAGGTTGCGACCATCAAGACGCAAGCAGAAAATTTGGTGGATATTGACACTGTGCTGGGCCCGATGTTGGCAAAGATGGACAACACGGGTCAGGCCTGGGATCTTGTGATAGTGGGTCCCAACCAATGGATATCTTACAAATATTACCATAAGACATTGCTCTCGCACACATCGTTAGGTAGATCAAAAAGAGACGCGCATACTTAAGCTGGGACGTCATTGGGACCATAGCCCCATTTCATCAGTAGTCGTAGGGGTGTAGTTTTGCTGCAGCCACGTTGGTTGCCAGCGGCCATGCCACCAGACAGGGTTGTCCGTCTAGCCTCATGTCCGCTGGAAAGCCCTGCGCATGTCCAGCAATGGAAGTCCAAACCCTCGTCACTTGGTCGGTTGCGAGTGGGCTGCATAGGCCAACTGTTCAATGACTGTAGGTAGTTATTTCAATGACTTTTACCCTATAGTACTCGAGACATGGCCATGGAAGATCCGGATACATTTTCTCATCAAAGACAATCCATCATTCATGTTCTGTGTAGATTTGATTTCACATCATTATCTCTGCAAATGTATATTTCAATTGGACCCAGTCTAGACTGGAAGGTCCCAGAGGAACGGGGTTGTTAGCTCCCAGGATGGCCACCAGCGCCTTGAAATCCTTGGCGCGGACTCGTCGACGTGGCCATGACGCGGTGCAACTGCTGGGTTTGATGCTGCAGAGCAGGGTGGAGACCAACGTGGCACATTTTTCCGCAGGTAACTGGGTGAATGCCTTGGTGAATTGGTGAATGGCTTGGGCCACTTGGGGTTGGATATTATGATATTTTCTGGGATGTTAGGCAGGGTGAGTAGTTGAAAGATGTTGGAAGCCTTGAATTTGGGAGAGAGACCAGGCTGCAATCATCCACAAAGACCTTGTGTGGCAGATGTTTGTTTTTTGAATTGATTTTTTAGTGTTGTGGATGTTGCTTGGCTCCAGTACCCTGCTCACACCTGGCGCAGTGCAGGCTTTGGTGCCTGTCAGAGCTGGGATTTGGTATTGGCAATCCTGGAAATGATGCAGCAGGTGGGGTCAAAAAGACCTTTCGGGCAGACGAATCCCAAACACATGCGGCATGAACAGGTGTGATTAAAACATTGCATGTCAGTTTAGCTGCCATCTGGTGAATTTTCTCCACCCATCCCAATTTTCCCAGGGTAAATTGGGATCGAATCCTCCAAGGCCAAAGTGTCGCTGGATGCCATGGGGCTTGGTTCCGCGATCCGTGCATGTCGCAGATCACCTGGACCCTGGCAGGTGGCAGTCAGCTTGTTCGCTAGTGCGCCACTTGGGTGCACCATGACTGCCTTGGGATGGGAGAAACACTCAGCCAACATGGTGGCATGACGAGTTCTACATGAGTCCACTGAGAGTTTGCCACACTCATTTCGTCTTCTTCCTTTGGGTTTGATTGGAACAACAAACCCCTGTTCTCGTGCGCACTTGGGTCTGAGGCAAGATGCTGCATGCCACCCAGATGTCATCGCGCACAACAATCTGCTGGCCGTATATCAGCGGAAAGCAGCATGGCAAAGTGCTACCCTTCTGCTGGAAGAGATGACCACTGGATTCCTTCGCCTCGATGTGGTTGGCCTCTTGGAAAACATCTCTAATTTGCATCGAAATCCCCTTCATTTCTCCATAGTTTCTTTCACTGGAAATTTCCCTCCATCCATATTTCCTTAGCTTACCTAATTTTTTCATATTTTTTCAATAGTGAGGGTGGCTGGTGGCCTTGAAAAAAATGGTGGCCACCCCCCTCTGGCCACGTCGTTAAGGCTACAGCTCCCTGCTGGCGCCCTGCAGCTGGCAGTGGCCTCTGCAGGTCCTGCAGGCCATGCGCCGCAGCAACCTGCGGCCCGATGCCGTCAGCGTGGACGCCACCATCACGGCGGCGCGCAGCTGGAGGGTGGCGCTGGAGCTGATGGAAAGCCTGGGAGAGCCGGAGATGGCAACTCGGCGGGAGGATCAATAAACCAACAAAAAGAAGATAAAGAAGTTAAGTAAATAAACAAACAAACTCACTAGACTAGCAAGCTAACTAACGAACTAGATAGATGATAGATCTAAATAGATAAATAGATAGATAAATGAATATATAGATAGATATGGTATATAAATAAAAACGTACACAAATACACGCATGATGTTTTTGCTTGTATACGCACAATTGAAGATTTAAGATGATCTTCAATAGAATCTTTGCTGCGCCACGCAGACATTTTGGGCAGTTTTCACCCAGCAATGCTCACCCTTGTGCGGACTTCGCGTCAGTATGCAGGTGACTTATGGCGCTGCTCTAGGACTTGGGTTGGGGCTATTCTTTGTGTGTGCGAGTGGTCTTAAAATCATGTGTCCCCTGCAGTTGCAGATCCGTAAGCAATGCATTTGTATGGCTTCTGTGTGAGCACAGGAACAACGTTTGTTCCAACATACTTCCTTGCATACTTCCTTGCGATGGGCTAGTTTTCGCAGAATATTTTCTTCAACGCTAGCTTTTGTTCAGTATCAGTAGCCTGGGTCTAGCAAGAAAAACAATCCCAAGGTGTTGTATTTCCCATGTGGATTCCATTTCAGATCGATTTTACGCGCCCCAAATGGTTCTCCTTCAGGGTTTTGGACATCGTTCAGGACGTTTCCCCAGTTTCCAATGCTCCCAACCTGCGGTTGATCATTTCCCGAACATAAGATGGCAAGCAATCATTGGGGATAGATCCCTCATTTTCAGACGCCAAATCAAACATTATTGTTCAGTTATCTCTCCATTCATTCGTTATATCCCTGGGTATCGATGGTCTCGTTGAATTTCACGATCCTACATGGATATATCCATATAAGCCTATACATATATCCATGCAGTCCTATAAATATATAGATAAATAATAAATAGAATACACACACAAATAATATATATATATATACACTATCCATAATCCGATCCGATCCATATATCCCAAACAATCCTCCTCCCACTGCCACCCGTCCTTTTTCAGGAGCCGCTGTGGACTGTTGGCGCATGGCTTTGGCCCTCTTCCGCGAGGCTTCGGAGCGACGTTTGGTAGATGGTCTGTCGCGCACGTCTTTGATGGTGCCTAGGGGCTAAGGGGGGAGGGGTGAAAATGGGGAAGCACTGGGGAAACCTAGGTTTTTTATGGGGGGAATTTGGGGGGAGATCATGGGTATTAATATGGGTCATATTAATGTCAATACATAAATATATGTAAATGTAAATTATGTATAATATGGGGCAAAACATCAAACTATGGGGAAAACCAGCTGGATACTTTAGAACCTTGATCTTTGTTCGAGTCAGAACCAACCTGATACATCCTGATACATCTTGATACATCCTGATACATCCTGATATATCTTGTTTCATCTTGATATTGTGCCCGATCGTGTCAGCTTTACAGTCTACTTGTACCCATCCAGCCCATGCACAAACGTCCTGAAGCCAGGTGGCTTTGGGGGAGCATGGAGAGTGGCAGAGGTGTTTGGAGCTGCTGGCGGTCTTTGAGCCCGATAGGGTGTGCTACAACGCTTGCATGAGTGCGTGCGAGAGAAGTAGCCAGTGGGAAGCTTCATTGATGATGTTCTCAGAGATGCTGCAAAGGGACATCTTTGATGCAGACACTCGGCCACATAGTAACATCATTCCAAACATCATTTGTAACATCATTCTTAACATCACTCTTCAATGATTGTAGATGATGATAGTAAAGAGAGAGAGAGATGATTAATATCATCATTTTCATTATACTTCGAGGGGCTTCTGAATGTCTTTCGCCACCATCACCAACCCACTTTTTTAACCGGACAGGTGAGCGTGACAACCGTCATCTCCTCTATGTCCAGAGGTCAGTCACTTGACCTCCACTGGGATGTTGATGGGTTCTGAAAATCTTGGAAAACACCCAAAATCACCCAAATTTCGCAGTTGAGAACATGATTTCCCCATTTTCCCCATACTTCCCACGGCAATTCTTGGGGGTGTCCTCCATGAGTTTCGCCCATCCCAGGCTGTGGCAGTTGGCACTGGCCACTTTTATGAAGATCGCCAGGCCAGGTGATGAGCGGCCCAAAGTGAAGGAAAAATCAGTGGATATCCATGTAAGAGGATTTTCCGATTTCAATTGCCAACATGGAAATCGCTTCTATATCTATATATATATATTTGTATATTTCTAAGATGTACACAAAATATTCACATTTTTCAATTTCGACTTACAGATGCTGATACGGCATATTTTTCCCGTTGCACCTCGAGGGGTCCCAGAAGCTCCGCTTCTCTCAGCGACGAGTGCTCCACGGCGCTGATGAGCGCCTTCGCACGTGGCGGACAATGGCAGAGAGCGGGGCAGCTGATGGAGGAGCTGTGACCCAAGGGGACCCAAGGTGACCCATCCTTACAATTCAACTACAGTGACTATAGTGACTACAGCCTCTAGGGAACTGATCCGTGTTGATTTAATGTGGGCACCAAGTGCCAGTTGCTTCTGGTGGAGGGGAGGGATGAAAAATATACCCTAGATGCCTAGATGACGAAACCTGAGTTTGAGGTCATGAAGCTTGAGCTCCAATATTTTTTGGATGGGATGAGTGGTACTGTAGGTGCCTGTGGTTTGAAGCTCTTGATCCAGTGGGAATGCCATGCAGGAAATGAGGCACCTGAACATAAAGGTGAGCACGGAGTGCTGCAACGCTGCCATGAAGGCAAGGGTTGACCGTCTCAGATCAGCCGCAGATCTCCAGTTGGTACTCCAAGACACCATGGAGCTACTGAGGGATTCCCAGTCAGTGGATTCTGTTTCTTCTCGCTCAGGCCTGTGGAGAGGCCGCACATTGGCCAACATCTTTGCACCTCTTGACATACATGCAGTGGAGCGCAACACGTCGAAGTGTCATCAGCCTGAACTCCGTCATTGATTCATGCGCTCGAGGAAGCGAGTGGCAGTGGTCAGTGCTTTGGCGTTGGCAGCTTCAAGCTGTTTCTCATACACAGCGGAACCCAAAGAATTGCATGTAGTGAATGTAGTGCAGAGAATGGATGCAAAAAACAACCCCAAAGATTTAAGACCAAAAACTCAGCAAAGTGTGGAAAATCAGCAATTGCGTCGAACTTCGTTGCAGGTGCTGCAGCTCACTCAATCCATTCAAGTGGATGAGATCAGTTTCAGCTCCAGCACGTCCTCCTTGGCGAATTCCAAGCTTTGGATGCGCGCTTTGGGGTTGTTGTGCACCATGGCTTGCGGGGCCTTGAGGCCACACGATGCCATGTATAATTCATTGACTGGTTCCTTGGAGAACTCTGGTCAATGGCCTTTCGCAAGCTCACTTTTGGAAGAGATGATCTGCACGAGGGTGTTGGAGACTTGCAGAAGTGCCCATTTCTTTTATCATTTTGTATCATTTTGTTAATTTAATCTCAGGGGCAGTTTACCTTTTTAAAACATTTTTTGGCTTCAGGGCAGGGCTATGTTGATTTTGATATTTTTGATGCCCAGGAATTCCTTCCCTCCCGCCGGTTCAACCCGCAGGATTGCAGTTCGCCCATTTCGCCCATTTCGTATGCTCTGGTGCTCACCAGGCTGAGCGAATCTCCCAGATGTTGGGCCCGTTCTTTAGCCTTGGCATCACGAATGCCGACGCAAAAGAAGGATGGTCGATCCACGGTTGGAGCCATAAGCCACAAGGCTTTGGTGACGGCTTGTGCGGCGGCTTTGGAGCAGGCAAGAAGTGCGAGGATATATCGGATATGTTTGACATTTCTGAGGACATTTTCTTATTTAATTACTATTGGTCATGGGTCAGCAGATACTTTCCTTGATTCTTTTCGACTTGTGAGAAATCATGTGGTAAACCATAAGCCCAAGGACAGGCCATCCCTGATTTATGTACCGTTTTACAATTCGGGGTGGTGTTAAAGACCAAGGAGGTTTACTTTGTTACTTGGAGGATCATCCCACTTAGTAACTGGTAAGATAACCCACTTAGGGGATTTCAGTTTCCAAGTGAGATGGTCAGATGATCCTCCAAGGCGCCTGGCAATGCCTCGACATGGCGTTGGGCCGTGGAAGTCTTTGCTCCAAGTTCTGTGGCAGATATCCCTGCGACGGAGCAGTTGGCAAATGGTCTGGGGCGTGTTTGGCAACACAGATCCATGGTGCGAGTGATGGGGGCAATGCCCTTTGATGACTTGCTTCTGCGGCTGCGAGACGCGCAAAAGAAATCGTGCTGAACTGGAAGGGCTTGGGGAGCAGTTGGCTGAGTTGCAGAAATGGGTATGGATCAATACCTATTAATACCATTTTTAGGGGGATGAACATCCATTTACCAGCTATTTTGATGTTCACCAGGGGTACAAGGTTTTGACACACTGCCAAATGTTGACCAGTTTGCTCAACTATGAATGTGTGGGATCCGTTGGCACAGCCAAAACAAGGTTTTGAACTGCGCATCACCGATCATGATGCGCGCACATCATGTTCCTGCAATGTTGGGCTTAGTGCCCGTTCACGTGAAAAACGGTGGCAGTTTCCCAGATTTACTGGGAAAGATCATTTGGAAAGTCATTGGGAAAGTCCTGGAGTTTTTGAAAATCCCACTGGGCCTGCCACGCCTGCGTGGCCGCTGGCAGGCAGTTCGTCGATTGGATATTGTCTCCGAGGTGCTGCATGGATTTTTTATCGACCATCCTAGGGGATCAACATCGCCGGATTTTGGTGTTAGGCTACCAGTCTTTGATACCAAATGATGACCAATATGGTTTCACCTGGCAGGGATGATATGCATTGATCCAACCACGAACTGAGTCATTTGGATCGTTGGAAAACCTGGTGCCGTGAGCTACATGGACGCACATATGCCATCACGGCTTTTTGTTTGAGTTGGTCCCAGCAGTCTGTGACAGGCGCAGAATGCAGTTGGGAGTGTAACTGGCCTTAAAGAGCAAGCAGTGGCTTGGAGATAATTCAGATCTCGTTTGCACACAGCTTGGTTGGTTTTGAGCGCTCAGTCTAGCTGCCATAGCTTGCTTCGTTGCAGGCACGTCAGCAAAAAGTGCTTTAGCAAGTTCTCTTAGCAGAGGGTGCTGCTTCCAAGCTTGTCTGAGTTTCTTGCAGTCACTATAGTGTCCAAAATATGACACCCGCAACTCACCACAAACATCTCTGTGATATGTTGTGATTACGAAGGGGGCCCCTAAGGGTCCCCTGACTTCCTGCCGCCTTCTGCGAGGATAAAAACTCGCGGGCCATCGGCAAGATCGTGCCTACCTGGCAAGCGGTGGAAGGCACTGCAGTGGACATGTGCCCCTCCGTGCTGGCGACCAAGGAGCCGTTGGTGATCCATTGATGATGCCTTGGGCCTTGGGCTGTGATGCGGGGTCCCATCTTGAAAGGGAAAACAGCCTCCGCCAAAGTTCCCAAGATGATCTACACATCGTGGATTTTCATGGATTTTCCACTATCCGGGTTAGTATACTGGAGAATACCAGCTGTACCCATGTTGAATCATGTTGGGTCGAAATAGTCCCTACGGAGCATGTGAGAATTGACAGGACACCATAAGCAACTTGAAGTGCCGCACCACGGAGTTTGTCAGCAAAGCTGGCCTTGGATCCTTTGTTCCCAGCGAGGTGTGCCGGGTTGTCATGAGGCCTTGGAGCCCTATGACTCAAGCCATGGAAGGTCATGCCAGCTATCTGAGTTTTGCCACGGTCAATTTCGATTCTTGAATGGGAATTATGACGGTTTGTTTAACAGCTTTGGCAAGAACCATTGCTACTAGCCTTACTAGCCCCATCGGAGGTGAGCAACATCGTGGCTGGCTGCCCGGCAAATTTACCGAGCGCAGAACAAGCCATTGAGGCTGGTTGCCCGTCTCTTGGCATGGCAGTGTGAGGCATGTTGGTCTTGCAGATCTGCAGAAAAACAAGAACTGATGCCAATTTTTATTGGGTGAAGGTACGTAATCTATTCCTTTGCAGCAAGACCTAAAATGAACTCAATACAGTCTATACATACATACATACATACATACATACATACATACATATGTATATATATATATATATTTACATATATCTCATAGTGAAGCACAGACTGCACCATGACCTCGGATATCAGTTGTTCATCTCCAAGGAAGGAGGCCTACTCTGCCAGTGTGAAAGATGTGCTCGGCGAAAACTCCAGTGTCCTGGGTTGGGCCCTGGCTGTGGGTGGTGGTGCTGCTGGCTTGGGAATCTGCGGCGTGGCAGGCCCGGGCAGCCAGGGCGGTCAGGGCAGCCGGGGCTGTGGAATGGGAAAACACGCTGGGGGGGTTTCCTGAGCCTTAACTTATTTCTTGGGGACAGCCTAGAACCATGAACTTCCCAGGCAAAACGGAGAGAGAGAGGAGAGAGAGAGAGGTGAACCCTTGGAGGTACCAAACTGCTGAAGAGCAAGGATGACGAGGATGAGACAGATGAGGACAGCAGTGGTCAGCCTTTGGCCGAAGAGTGAGTGCCCCCTGTGGAGTAAAAGGCTGCTGGCGTGTGTCAATGGCAGTAAGGGCAATAATCCCATCCCGCTAGTATGAAACAGCCAATAATGGTCGCAAGTATGTGTGAACCCCCCCTACTAAACCATTTTTTTTTTAAGGGGGGGTGTTCAATAATAGGGGGACGGGATCATTTGTGTGCTATCAGACTCTGGAGAAGTGATGCGTTTTTTTTGGTCCCCTTGCAGAGGACATACATCAAACATTTTGCTGATTGTTTGCCGTCGCTGTGTTGCTCAAAGTTGGTGGTCCCAAATATGCCAAAATTCAGATGTTGTTGAGGTGACGTAAGCTTTGCATTTGTGGAAGGCATGACAAGGCTCCGAGATTCAAGGCGAAGCTGAAGACCACATGATTTGACCAGTTTAGACTATGCACTGGGACGTACCATTAGTTCGGAAACACAAAACTATCATATATACTTTATCTGCAAGTAGAACATTTGTAGATTCTAGATTTCGTATGCGTACCATTCATACCTCACACATTTTGTGCCCTTAGCTGCGCGTGCCGTCCCTTGCGATCTGGCGAAGGCACGGCCCCCCAGTGAGGGCGGCGTTCCTTGTGTTTTCTCCTCTATTTTTGGAAAACCTTCCCGTGGTTGATCGCCCAAAAGTGTTCTTCAACCTCCCCGAAATGCAAAACCACAGAAATAGAAGGAACCCTAAGCCTATACAGCTAGATGTTTTTGAATCGTTTGTTTTGGGACCCCGTCCTGTGAAGAAAAGCAGCATGGTATAGCATGGTAGAAATCTGTTGCCCAGGCGGCTGATGAAGGGAATCGTGCGGCTGCACTGAGGGCTCAGACACAGGTGTGCCGCAGTGTCATTGTTGGGTTTGCCCAGTTGAGGCGGTGGGTTTCGTAGGGGGCTATGAGATGACAGTACTGTGGCACTCTGGTCCCATGACTGTCGCGGGAGGTGGCATGTCCGTCCTGTACTTGACCTGTGACCTCGTCCTTCACTTAGTTGCACCGCGATGGGTCAACAGTCAGTGGGACCTTACTATTGGAATGAGGCAGTTCCAGAAATGTACCATGCATTTTCAACACTTGGGGGGATGATTATGTAGGCTGAACAGCAGCATCGAGGAGGGAGTACTAATACTTGTATAACAGAGCAAACACTGGGAGATCATTGGCCAACAAACACCAGGAGGATCAAGAGAAAGTCTGTGGGACCGCAAGTTTAAAGTTCAAAGCCACCCCAAGGAACGTATGTCAGTATGAGTCCAATCATTGGTTTGAACCAGAAGCTAGACAGCCAATAGCAGCCAATAGCCCAAAAAATGAAATCATTTTATTGGGTAAAAATTCTTTGCCAACCACGAGATTTCATGATGTTTCATGAGATTTCCGGGTTTTTCCTCACTTTGTCCCAACAAAGCCATATTTGAGACCATCAACCACCCATAAAAAAGCCCCAAGATTGTTGGTTATATCATCCCATATCTCCAGTAGTTCACCCTTTTGATTCATAATTCTCACGTGTTCCACAGTGACTCAACATGAACAATACTTTGCTGCACAAGGATGCAAGCCAATTGGTAGGGCAAATCCTTCGCGAAGCCCTGACAAGAAATCCCATATCTCCAATGACATATCCTCATTTTTGCTCGTTGAAATTTGATATCTCATTTTGAATCATTTTGACAGGTTTTAACTTCTATGTTTTCCCTTTTTTAAGCATGTCTATGTTTTTCTTCAAATCATTCTTTTTCAAAAAAAAGCACTGAAGAAACGGTGCCTGGTGCCCATCCTAGACCTTTGGTCGCCCCAGGATAATGTTGTCTTCACCTTCACCGCAGAGGAGAATTCCACCTGGCAGTTTTCGAGGCTGTCCAACTTCCACCGAGACAATGGGAAGGACGGGGACAGCAGCTGGGAAATGTGGTGAGACCAACAAAAGAAGGGACCACAACCAGCCAACATGGGGAAGATCATGTATAACATGTGGGTATATCATGGTATATCAACCATTAATGACTTCTTGCTGCGGATTTGGGAGGCTGGCCTAGGAGGACTGTGTTGTTTGTGTGGACGCCAGGACTGCTTCGTCTTGCGACAGGCAAGTGAAGGCAGCACTACTAGTGCGGTATCCCAGGCGGCAAAACCACATTCTGTGTCAAACAAATATACCCTGCCATTGCACGATATTCACCATTGGTTCTATGGATTTCTATGGTAAATAATCCGAGTTAGTCCGAGTTTTTTCTGGTCGCGACCAGTGCCTTTCGGACCTGATTTTTCCCAAGTGTAGGACCTGATTTTTCAATACTTTTCATCTATCCAAAATCTATGCCTCTCTCCGGCTCAGGATGGGTTCTGGAAAATCAGACTGGTCAGCCGAGTGTCTTTGGCACCCCTAAGGACTACACCTAGGATAGCGCCTGGGGGACGCTGGATGCCGTATCCATTCCGCCCATGCCATCAGGTCCCCGTCGTCAATCGGATTCTACTCCATTTAACCCGTTGATTATCATTTCCAAATTCTGATTCTATTTTTACCATTTTTTACCCGTTTATTTGCGACAATTGGATTCCCGTCAGATTCCCATCACACTGTTGCTTTTGATTGGCTTCTACACCCTTTACTCAAATCTGTCTGCAGCTTCACGTCCAAGATCATGTGGCAAACCCACCCATACACCTCCAATGGGAGATAGATAGTACAAGAATTCTCCGATTTGCAAACTGAAGATGCTTGTTGTTTTGGGCTGAGCATGCGATCGGCTAACCCAACAGAGATGGAGATGCAACCAGGAATCAGGGGATCCCTTGGCTGAATTCGAGAGGGCCATGGAGAGAGATACATGGTGGATATGGTGGATTCCAATTTCGTAAACCATCCGAATACAGTACTCAAAAATGATGGTAACGATATCAACTCTTAACAACACAAACGCAGTAATAAGCAATAGCTATAAATAAAGCACTATCGACAAGACACAATCAACAATGACAAGACTAGTAGTACAAGAGAATATAGGTTCCTTCCAACAAGATATATTATAAAAGGTTCAATTTTCTACTTTAGATTCCGATTTTACTTGTCTATTTTTTTGTTGGGGGGGGTACCCTCTGGTAAACTAACATAGCTATAGAAAATGGCCCACACACACACATATATATACATAGTTGATTTACCTATTAAAGATGGGTGGATTTTCCAGTTCGCTATGTTAAATTACCAGAGGGTATGTTGCTAGCAGTCAAACCGCAGTACTCTGGCCACGGACCACCTTTCCGCGGCTCACCTTCCCCTCCCCGAGGGATGCTTGGGAAACCCAGAGAATTCACCGGTTTTGACGCGACTTTGTTGGGAGTTTCCTGTGGAAAAATAGGGTTTTCCACCCTAGAAAACACGATTTCCCCATGGAAAATATAGGGATTTATTCTTGAACAAATATATAAGGATTTCCACATGGAAGAATGGGGCTTACCTGCAGAAAATCCTATCAAATATTGGGGATTTATATGATTGTTAAATATGGAGATTTAGCCATGAAGATTTCTGATTTGGGGAGTTCCATAAACAATGGGGCACTCCAAAATCCATCAAAATCCCATAGTTTTGATCACAGGGAAACGCATGGTGACTTGGGGTACCCCAAATTTGGTGAGTCTCCGGGCATCATCGGGTCCCAGCCGGGGGGATTTTTTCAGGTGGACGGTCTGGGGCTGCCCCTTTATTTTGTCGGATACGATGCCCTAAAGAGATGCGATTCCCTCGCCCTTCACATTCGAGGCCGTTGGGGACTGTGGACGTGGGATTTTTTGCAGCGGATACCCTCCGAGAATCTAACATGGCTGGAAAGTCAGGATTTTCAATGGACAAATCATTGATAATTGGATGTAAATGGCGCTTTTTCCAGTGCCAGCTTAGATTTCTAGATGGTAAACTATGTTGCACTTGGATGCTGACTTGGAGATTGTCTCATGTTGGTCTCACCGCCATTTCTGACCATGGCCTGAATTTCCGAGCTGGGAGGTGCCCTTTGCCAAGATGCACTTTCATGAAGAGGTGACAGTTGGGTCGGGTCAAACTGAGCTTCCAAACACGTCCTACAGTCGTCCACCAGGGGCGTTTGGGGTACCTCGACATCGAAGTTTTCAATGTGGGCATTGAGGATGAGCACTTGGTCCGGGCCTTGAGGAATGACGGGTCAATTTTTTGGGGAAGCAAGGCGCCCCCAGTCGGCCCAGTCGTGGTAGATGATAGGTTTGATTTCCCCAGTCATGCTAGGAACATGTAGGAACTGGGTTTCAATTGCATTTGCCAAGGATGAAATACTGCTCACACTCAGGCGCGAAATTCTGGGCTTGCAGGGAAAGGTCAAGGAACAGAATCCTGTTGCTCAATCTAGTTTATGTAGTATCGGGAATGTATATTATTGTTTCTTTGCTTGGAACTTGTGGAGAGCAAGTAATGTGTTGACGATATAGTTGCCAAAATGGCTATGCCATTTTGGCTCAAGCTGTTCCCCCTGTGATCCAATACTTTCGAAAAGACGTTCTGATCTTCTTGTCTTGCTCATGGCGGCTTCTAGTCCAGTAGCAAGTGAGACTGGCACCGTGGGCTCCTTCTCGTTGATTGGAACAGAAATGGATGCAGGGGACGATTACATGTTGCTTTCCACACCGGTGACTGAGGCTGCGCCGGCCGAGGTTACGACAGAGTTTGAAGATGATCCCGCCATCACCAAGGAGACACTGGCTTCGCAGCTCCATGAGATGGAGAAAGTGATGGAAAACTTGGGCTTGGAACCCAAGCCGGAAACAGGTGTGGCAGCGTCAAGTGTGAAACCTCCGTCGGGGTTCGTCCAGGCTGAGGCACCGACTCCAGCTCAGACACCACAGACCTTAGAGAAGGAGACGTTGACGCTCCACGTGGATCAGACCACAGAGACCTTCACCATCGAAGGCTGGGCACCCTTGGTTCCGGCCCTACCTCACTCTGCTGCC